AAAAAAAAAAAAAAAAAATATTACTTTTTGCCAGCTATTTTCTAAAATTTATATTATTTACATTTCATCTTTATTATAATTAATAAGGAATAACAAGTTTTTTAAGTCCGACTACACTCGAGATACGACTCACGAATTCCTCTATCTCTCTATCCCTTCGACCTTTCACCACTTAAATTTAATAGCATCAATTTTCCTTATACACAAGCTGCCCTGCTTAATTTCATTCCTTTACCTTCATTCCACCCTAAGATATTAAACGAAATAGACGCCAACACACACACAAAATAAAAGTAATAAAAGTAAATTTAGAATTGTAATTTTATTTTATTAAAAAGTAGTAAAAGTAATAAAATAAAAGTAATAAAAGTAAATTTAGAATTGTAATTTTATTTTATTAATTAATAACTTCCAGCCACAGAAAAGTGAAATGGTGTTTACACTGTAAAATAGAGATTCATCTAAAGTAAAAAGATAATGCTAAATTTGTGAATGTCCGGACATTTTTTAAGTTGTAAATATATTTAATTTTTTAAGAAGTTAAAATTTAAAAGAAAATTGTGGTTAGTTAAAATGTATTCTAAATATCTTTACATTTGGGACTTAAATAATTACGCTTTCAATATAGTGAATACTCCATCGTTCTCGCGTTGTTATTCGTAAATTAAAAAACACTAATATAGCAAAGCACACGCGCAATATCCGTATCAAGTATATGTAAAGCGCAATATGATACTGTACAATAGGTAACTAAATTTCGCCTTCTACAGTACTATTGATTTCTTGAACGCAATTGTTCTCTATGTCGCTCATACTTTACTTGTTCAAATATGCACGCAAAATGCTAATAAACTGAAAAAATTTACAGGAACGCCTTTTGTTTACATAAATACACTAAAAGATAAAAAGTAATAATTTTTTCAGTTTTGGCAATATTCTTGGTGTTACGAGTCCAAAAATAAAAGCTGATGCACTCGTGTTTAGAAATATTCTCAGCTACACTTTCTATCAATTTTTATGGCTCTCCATCAGTGCTCGCGCTTTTATTTTTGATGGCATAATACCAAGAATACTGTGAAATCTGGTAATATATATATATAAAGTAAATATTAATATAAAATATTTATATTATATTAAAATATTTTATATAAAGTAATATATATATATATATTACTTTTTAGTGCATTTATGTGAATAAAAAGCGTTTTTTAAAATTTTTTTTAATACTTTCTTATTTACTTTTTAAATTTATATATGGAGCACTAAATTATTGGAATTCGTTTTGGTTTAATAGTTAATTAGAAACTGGGTAAAAATTCGGTTATACGGTTTTATCTAGACCAGTGGTTCTCAGCCTTTCTGAAGCCGCGAAACACCATTCATGTACTTTCTATTACACGGAGCATCAGCATCAATATACTCAAAAATTGATAAGCAATTCCATGTTTACTATTCTCAGGAAACAATGAAGCAATAAACTAATAAACTTTAATATATTGAATAAAATAGAAACATGGAATAAAGCAATGGAAATAAATTTGAATAGAAACTTTAAAATCTTTTCTTTCGCGAAGCACTCGAGGTAGGTTTGCGGAACATCCGTGTTCCGCGGACCTACCTCGCGTGAGCGTTACTGTCTAGATCAGTGGTTAATAACCACTGATCTAGACAGTATAGCTGAAAAGGGGAACATAGCGACGCGTAGCGCCATCTGTTATCAGATTTTATTTACAAATTTTAATTTTTCGCTAATTTTTTTCCTAATTGTTAAATTTGTTTGCAAAATCTAAAAAGGTGTGTTGTTGTCGAGAATACAAATATATGCGCAGTTTGTACACAGAATGCGCAATGCGCATAGATGGGTAATTGAAAAGTAGTAAAACTTCAATTTCTTTATCTGGACAAAGTAAGTTAATGAAAAGTGCATAATAGACAGTAAATTAAAACTCTATCAATAGACAACTATACTTCGTTATTCGAGCAAATGTTGGAGGTTAAAAACTATTGCGGATAGAAATCTCTATATTCTATCTAAATCATCGGTATTCATAATACATTTTCCAATTTGAAATCAAATTTTATATATTGATTCAATTATTTTAAATAATAATAATACGAGATGCAGTTAACTTCTAAGGTTTGTTTTACGTCTTAACAATAATTATTTCTGTTTTTCCGTGTCTTTCCACGCATCGAATCCAAACGCTCGAAAGTCCTCATTAGTTTTCGATCCTCGCACCCTTAATAGCTCACAAACAATAATTCGATTTTCCTGAATATTTGTCGACACATTTCCTATTAACACGCGGGGAGATTTTCCCTGTAAAATTTCAGAAATTTTTCGACGAAAGACAGGAATTACTAAGCTTCAAAGCGGGTTATAATATTCGGAGTTCGGTCATTCGGACACGCTACTGATAACAAATTTTAGTAACTAGATCTGACGACACAAGACTAGAAACTGTCATTTTGATAATACAGTATATGGAAACGTTCTATTTAGATTTTTGCTAAAATAATTTTCAGACAAAATTCAGTATTTTCTTGTACAGATTTCTGGAATTTTTACCATACTTTTCCTTATTCGGATTCAAGTTCAAAGATAATTACTCGTAAACTTTGAATTTTAAACATGTTTTGCTTTCTGAAATAGACAAAGTATATATACATTTTAAATATAATTTCCTAAACATTTCGTCAAATAAAAAAAAAAAAAAAAAATATTACTTTTTGCCAGCTATTTTCTAAAATTTATATTATTTACATTTCATCTTTATTATAATTAATAAGGAATAACAAGTTTTTTAAGTCCGACTACACTCGAGATACGACTCACGAATTCCTCTATCTCTCTATCCCTTCGACCTTTCACCACTTAAATTTAATAGCATCAATTTTCCTTATACACAAGCTGCCCTGCTTAATTTCATTCCTTTACCTTCATTCCACCCTAAGATATTAAACGAAATAGACGCCAACACACACACACACACACACACACACAACACACATATATATACTGTATATACATAAGTTACATATCCAAGGAATGTTTTGTCGTTTTTTAACGTTTTTGGGTTCAGGAGGTCTCAAAAGCGGAGATTTACAAAAAACTTGGAGGGTGAAATTTAGCACGATTCCAATACGTTCCCACGTTATGTATACATAACAGCCGGAAAGTAAAAACTTCTCTTAGTTGTCTTCGTGTTTGACATTTTAATATTTAATTTTTTCTATAAAACTGATCACTACCTTTTTGCCATTTCATAATAATTAAAAAATAGATAACAGATCTGTTTTTTAGTTATAACAAAATCTGATAACAGATGGCGCCCCCCACACACACACAACTTTATCAGAGTCGATGAATATACTGGTCCTTGAGCTATGCTCTTGAGTAGAGTTAATGTTTCAGTTTGCCGATAGCTGGCGTTAGAGTTGCACTATGTCGAGAAGTTGGTTTATAAATTTGGTTAGTAAATAGTTTTACCGTTTTCAAGCATTTTTGTAACTTTTTTACTGTTTTGTCAAAAAATCATCTTATTTGTAATTACACTTTTTTTATTTTTATATCACGTATAAAGAAAGAAACATATACTTTGTTTATAAAAAAATTGAATAAGATGATAATTTTAAATTACAGAGGATCTGTTTAAAACTCTTATATTGCTACATATTGCACACAAACGTTTTATACATAATGTTCTGAGTATAACATATCTGTTCAATACATA